GAAGAAGTCTCTTGGAGGAGAGACGAAACGTTTCATTAGAGAAGAACCCGTCCAGAAGACCTATAGAATTTTTTTCTTGTTGAGTATTATGGGATGTTTGCAGTCTTCAGTGGATGTTTTGCCTCCATCGAACATTAAGCTGTGGTGTGTGTGCTCCTCTGTACCTGCCAAAGGCATTGATTAAGGCCACGATTTCCTGCCGGGTCAGCTGGAAGCCTTTAGATGGACTGTGCTCAGGCAGGTTCTGGATCTCCCTTTCCGAGAAGAGGACCTTCAGAGCTGTGCCCAGACCCTGAGTCTGCAGAGACACAAAACCAACATGAGGGCAAACTGGAAGCTAAATATTTTCAGTTTTTATCCACTAGATGCGAAGACTCTGTTATTTGAACCAATCAGATTTGGTTCTGAGTTCTGAAAAACTACTTTCTAACAGTTACCAGGTGGATTTATGACATCTGCCTTATAGAAAATAAAAATATTGAAACATAATCAGTTAATCAAAGCTGATCCTTTTCTTTTACCACAGGGCCAACATTATGGTTTGAATCAGTTTGAGRGTGAGGAAGAGAAATGAATAAAGCTGACTCGTCACACAGGTGGAGTGTCACCAGTGTTCATTTATTTTTATTTATTTCTGATGCTAATGTGACACCAGCTGATCAGTTCTGTTGGTTTCTACACAACCWTAGCTGGGCAGAATAAGACCCACTGTCTGGATGGAGGAAAAATGGGACCATGTGTGGTTTATAAAGTTCAGATGCAGGACTCTGGGTATCACCTCAACACACTCACCTGCAGCTTCCCCCACAGTCGACACTTACTGCAACCAACACAGTCCATGATCCGAGAGATGTTCTTAAAATGAAGCCGGAACTCCTCCTGAATAAAAACAGGACAGGTTCAGGATCAGAAACATAATCAAACCATTCCAGATCAGACYCTGCAAAGACAGACCATCTTTCTGTTTTTGGAGTATTAAATGAAAATAGGATAAGCATCTGTTTTTTTGTTTTGTTTTTCCAATATCTGTTTTTAAAATGAAAAACAAAAAATACATCAACCTAGATGTTGCAACTTAAATGATTTTTGAAACCAGGTTTGAATTGARTGTTTTCTTTAATCACATATTAAGCACACAGGATCACGTATGTCCAAACATTATCCCAAATGTTTAATCAAATAAGAAAGTWAAAATCAAGCTTATTTTTAAAACTACTGAAGTTGCATGATGATTAATCATTCAATTCTAGATAAGAACGGTTCATATCAATTATTACTAGTCTGAAATGAATGCAACATGATGAGTAAATGCAAAATGACTGCAGCTGTATTGATATRGTTAGGTTTTACCTTTAATGTTTTAGCTTCCATTTTATCCCCAGCAAACATGGACTTCTCATCAAAGTGCATTGGGAAAGCTCTGAAAAGACAAAAACAGCTGGCAAATAAATATAGATAGCTGAGTAAAGCACTTTATTTATTATGGCTTCAAAAATCATTTCATGTTCAATATCAATAATGTCCTGCAAAAAAAATGCAATCTGAAGCGTGAAAGTGACAACACTGTTGTCAACAGGGATGTTTTCACCCTGAGGGAGTCTCTAAAACACATCAAATATTTAGAAATTGTGTAAAAATAGGGAGGAGCAATGYTCCAGATGTGCTGGTTGCAAATTGGCTTTCTAGTGCAACCTTGAATAGGGCTCCTCTGGCTACTTTAATATACACCTATAAAGAACCTACAGAAAAATCAGCCAATTTGAACAAAAATGCAATTTTCCCTTGTCACACAAGCTGTGATTCCATCTTCAATTTGGACCCCACAAGTAAATTTTAAAAATCTATATTGTTCGATACAAGTGTGTATTGAACCTGAAGCACTGTTCGATACGGTTCACTATGGTTCGATACGGGTACATGTATTGTTGCACCCCTAATGCCAGGTAGACTTTCGGGAGAGACGGGGAGGTCACTGGGGAGGTAACCCAGGTAGAATTTCGGGAGAGACGGGGAGGTCACTGGGGACATATCCCAGGTAGACTTTTGGGAGAGACAGGAAGGTCACTGGGGAGGTAACGCAGGTAGACTTTCGGGAGAGATGGGGATGTCACTGGGGAGGTATCCCAGGTAGACTTTCGGGAGAGACGGGAAGGTCACTGGGGAGGTATCCCAGGTAGACTTTCGGGAGAGACGGGAAGGTCACTGGGGAGGTATCCCTGGTAGACTTTTGCGAGAGACGGTGAGGTCACTGGGGAAGTATCCCAGGTAGACTTTTGGGAGAGACGGGGAAGTCACTGGGGAGGTATCCCAGGTAGACTTTTGGGAGAGACGGGGAGGTCACTGGGAAGGTATCCCAGGTAGACTTTTGGGAGAGACGGGGAGGTCACTGGGAAGGTATCCCAGG